TGCTATATTTTAACATTCTTGAAGAAATGCAATAAATAAAAATTCAGTCAAAAGTAACAGTAGTTCATACAACGTTACAAGAAAAACTGAAAAATATTACTTTTAAGCATACGAAAAATTCTCTGCCATAATCACGTATTAACTGGTATTAACTAATACATAATTACGTATTAACGGGCTTAAAAAACGTGTGATCAGATATGCATAATATAGTTACAAAACAAATATAATTTTATTAGAAAAAGATTCATAATTTTTGACATAATGGTAGTATCCCATTTATGGCACTTCTTTCCTATCAACTCCTTGCACTAAAATTAATTTCACAAATACGTTGATTAGCAATTTTTTTATAACAGAAGAACAAAAATGTCGTTTCCATTTCGAAGAAATGAATAATGTTTATATTTAGTAGATCATCAACGAAATCTTAGTTATGAATCGGACTCGTGATTATAGTGCAAAGAGTTAACGATATTTCATTATTGATTTGTTGCTGCTAGCAATTTACTGTCGAAACGTGCAGGTCCATTAAGATTTCATCAACAGATCAACATTTTCATGGATTCGCAAAATGAATGTCCGCGAGAGTAAGTTTCTCCACTGAGGCGATAGAATCTTAATTACAGATAAAGATTTTTCGTTTCCAGCGGCCGAAGGAATGCAAGCAAAGTGTTTCAGTGGACGATGATAAGGCAACAATTAAGCTCGAGAGAATCTTTCTGCGTCGGCCGAGCTTTTTTCCCGGCTAATAATCGGCAGTAATTAATTAGTGCTGTGTCTCATGGTCTTTCTGGGATTTTATTCGTTCCGCAGCAGGAGGGGTGGCTTTTTGCCGGGCCACAAAGGCGGTGGATCCCGCCGCAGCTTTTGTTTAAATATTAATAACGTGCTAAGGTTCGGTCGCTCTTCCGTGGCGCCGGCAGAACGCGCTTTGTTCAATTAAACTTAATATCTTTATTATATCTGAGCGTCGGAGGCGGGTATTATTTGTTGCGGGGTGAGTCTGAAGTAAGAGGAGGGGTTGTTCGAGATGAAACCGTCGTTTAAGTTCCGTGGAAAAACCATCGGATTCGCAACTGCAATTGTTCTTCGATTGGTTCATTGAATCCTTCATAACATTCCTATCTTTTGACTTATTAAAATGTTGATACTATAGAATCGTCCTTAAAAAATGAGAATTAATGATTAAAATGCGGATCAAAGTAATCATTGTCTACATCAGCTCCAAGAAAGAGAAACAAAATAAAAAATTGTTTCAATGATTTTATATATATATTATGGATAGAATATAATATATTAATATTTTAAAATCCTTTAAATATATCTGTTATTTTTTCACCTATTTAATCATAAATACATGAAATCTCCGCGCCCTAATCATCATTTATTGTTGCGTTGATTAAAAAATCTTATCGTGTATCTTGTGATAGATTGCTTATAGTATACAGAAAGGTAAACATTATAAACAAATACTATAGATTGTACACTTTTGTGAACAAAAATGAAACAGTAAAATTTAATTCAACAAGAAAAATTCAATGAATTCAAGAATATATCGAATTGAAAGAAAAAATCAATACGCTGCTCAGAAATTTTATAGGAACTGATAAATAAAAGATTTTGCGCTTTTAATTATGTATTTTACGTGATCGCCTTACAGTATGAACAAAAATAATAATTAAAAATAGATGCGACTTTGACATGAATATATTGTGTCAAAGTTAAAATCAGAGTTAAAATGATGAAACGATTAAAAAAGAATTTTGCAATTCATGCAGATTTATTAATACTCTTACACTATGTTATCGAAAAATAATGTCAACAACAGGATGGTCAACAACGATATTTCGCAAGGCTTCATTAAATCAAGGAAAATTTTTCTTCTTTCAAAATCGACCCACAGGTCCGTCCACGTTGTTTGAACATTCCAAGATTATTCTTTCAGCGCAGCAGTTCGCCAAAATACATGGTGTCTATGGTTACTATGAACTGAACGACAATCGAGGAAACAGGTACGAAGTGGTAGTCGTAGCCCGCACATGTACGAGCCACTCAACCATCGTAATTCCGCTATGGAAAAATCTGACGTGGATGACGTTGGTAACTAATATTCGCTCGTTACGTGCACCCCTTTTGTCGTCGTGATAAATTAGCCGTCGACCCATGTCAAAGGGCTACAAAGAAAGCAAACCTTCGATAGAGAATCGTACGGACTTCGCTATCGCGCGGGGATATCGATCGGAAATGCAATGCTGGCTCTCTAATTTGTTGCTAACGCTGCTGACAACCGTATCAATTTCGATAATGCAACCTCTCATTGATTCTCGAACCCACATTGCCTAAGAATAGAATTCTCTCGACTAGAATATTGATTGTTTAAAAAGCTTGAGGGTGCGAGGTGGTTGAAATTTATCAAAAGTTCATGTGACAGAATGTTTTATAGACTATGTACGGAATCCTAAGTCGGGGTGCAATGATTAATTTTACATTCGTAATTGTTTTTATATTCTCCTCTGCTGTTTGAAGTTTTTTTTTTTGTTTTATAGGTTGCCCCAACATCAAGTAATTCAATTATATTTCCACACGTAATTTTTTACTAATATGCAATTTATTTTATGCTAACCGTCATGTACTTGTGATAAAAATAGGTCAGGGTTAGGCACATTCAGTATAAAAGAGCGAAAACATCGAAAGAACTTCCAACTATCAGTGCCATGTTTTGATCAGATTAATTGTAATTTTATTAAGAGGTGAAACAAAATTTCCACTTTGACTTTTTGCAATTGACGCAGAACATTTTTATTTTGTATAAAAATTCACAATTTAAAGATGAACTTTTACGTACTTTGAAAATAAGTCTGTAGAAAAAATATCCTGCAAAATCGTACATTTTTTTAAGTTCTCTGGCTAACCTGTTGTCTTGCCGAGCTTCGCTTCAAATGAAATATAATTCTGATTTTTGCAAGGTTGATTGCAAAATCATCGATGTTTTTTTTAAATAGAAAGCTATTCTTTCTTACGTTTTATGTTTTGTCCACGCAATGTTGTACATTCAAACAATGATTATATTTCGTCTGCCTCTTGCCACTCGTTGCGGTAACATTGTTT